TTAAAAAACAAACTCAGTCTTTTTAAAATTATTTTTCCAAAGCCATTATTCAAGTCAGTTTTTTAAGAAAATATTATGATATCGATATTATGGGACAAGCATTATTTATTTTATTAAAATTACAGATGTTAGTTATAAAGGTTACTCAGGCATATACAATGGACAATATTCAAACAAATTATCATCAGGGGGGAAAAAGAAAAAAAAAAAAATTGGAATAAAAGTCTTTATAAAATGGTTCTAAGTCAGAAGATGTTCATGAAATGATATATCATCAATATAGAATTGAATAATGTTAGGAACTATTATAAAAATAGAAGTTATGTGCATAATGATTAAAAATTATACTGATGCTTGCCTTATTTAACCTAATATATATAAAGTGGTTATAATCAAGAAAAAAAAATTGGTCAATTTTTTTTAAAATGCCTCAGAAAAATATTAAGAAGGTCCATCAGTCTTATACCCTTAAAGAGAAAGCTAATGTTATTTGGTATGCTCTTTGTGAAGGCAATCTTAGGGCCACTACCAAGTTTGATTTAGATAAGACTCAAGTTGGTCATTGAGTAACAAAGTTAAAGAGTAAACTTGATGAGATTGATCATAGCAAATCCCATCATCTTGAAAGTGGTAGTAGAAAAAGTTTTTTTCTTGATGAAGAAGTGCAGTTTTATAGATAGATATCTGAAATGTGTAATGCAGCATTTGCTTTAACATACAATAGTCTCAAATTTGAAATGTTAAGAATCATCTCTGAAATGGTGTTAAAAAGTAATAATCTCAAAAAAAAACAACTTGCAAGTAACTTCAAGGCCTCCTCAATGTAGTTAAAACATTTTTTAAAATGCTATAATCTTGCCTTATGCTGTAAAACAAAAATAGTACAAAAATTGCCTATTGATTTTAAGCAGCAATTGCTCAATTTTCAATAATATGTAATTCAGTTATGCCTTAAGAGAAACTACCTCTTAAGCAATATTGCAAACATGGATGAAACTCTTGTCTGGTTTGACATAGCTGGTAATCTAACTGTTAAACAAATTGGTGCCAAAACAGTCCATATACGTACAACTAATAATAAGAAGAATCACTTTACTATAGTTCTGACATGCTTTGCTGATGGACAAAAGCTTCCGCCCATAGTTATATTCAAGGGTCAAAGATAGGCTAAGACTAAGGCTTCTCCTTCTTCTGGTGTAATTGTTTTTTTTTATGAAAAAAGTTGGATGGATGAACCTAGTATGTTGTCATGAGCCAATAGCTATATAGAAGATCATTTAGGTAGTTAGGAAAATGAACTCTCTCTTCTTGTCTTTGATTCATTCAGAGCACATATTACTAATGCAGTTAAAAAGAAGCTTTAAGAGAATAACAATGACCTTGTTGTAATTCCTGGTGGATTAACTTCTGTGTGCCAACTGCTTGATATTTCAATTAACCATTCTTCAAAATAGCACTTCATAACCACTGGCATAAATAGATGACAAATAGTAGGTTTGCCAAAACTAAAAAAGGAAACCTTAAATGCGCTGAACTACATATAGTTTGTGAGTGGGTGCTTGCCGCATGGGCAGAAATTGATCCTAAGATTATTCATCATGCCTTTCACAAGTGCTCTATTTCTAATACTATAGATGGATCAGAGGATAATGAGATATATCATGACAAAATTCTTGATAATAAAACTAATGAAGCTAATGAAAATAATCCTGATATGGATTCTGGTGATTCTGGTAAAAATGAGAAGGATTTTGAGGATAAAGAAAATAATGATGCAATGATTGAAAAAAATGAGGATGTTCTTCTTTTTACAATAGATTAAGAATGTATGATTCAAAGCTTTTACAGCTGTCTAATAAAATTTAACAATCATGCTTTATTGCAAAATATCATAAGTTTGTGGATATATAATATAAAGTAAGTATGGAAATAAATTATGATCCAGTAATCAGAATAACGATTTTTATGCCACTCAATTCTTCATAAGAAGAATTGAGTGATATAAAAATCGCTATCATGATTACTATATGATGTAATATTTGTACTATAAAAATATTTTATTTGACATCACTTCCGGAAAAATGTGCATGAATTAATAACTTATGCAGTTTTATTATTTTTTATAATAGTTTAGTCATGGCAAAAAAATGTTGGGATCACAAGATCAAACAATCACTTTCAACACAGAGTATGCAAATAATTTTACAAATTTTAATACCATATAATTATATAGATTTTATATAATATCGATATATGATTTATCAAAGATCGTTAATCTTGTGATCTTGACAATTTTTTTGCTATAACCTATTTGCATTTAACAAAAGTTTTTATACACGAAACTATATGAATTAGTGAAATCTCATTTCTAATCTGAAGGCATATATTAAGCGAAATAAATATTTAATTGTATTATCTAATTGGGAATTGTTTAAATAAAGTCATAATCTATACAGTACATTAGTTGCCTATTAATAGTATATTTGATAGCCTGGTTCAAATAAATTCTTACTAAAATTTGATTATGCTAAAAAAAAAAAGCATTTTTATTAGTTTCAGACCATAATTCTAGGTTCAGATAAAGATACTCGAAATTGGGAGTAGCTTTTATTTGGTAACTAACAATTTCTTTCATTTTTCTCATTTTTTGTACTCAAAAAGTGGAGGTAGCTTTTATTCAGGAGTAGCTTCTATTCAGTAATATATGGTAATAGAAAAAAAATCAGCTATTATTCTACCCTATATCTGCCAAATAATAGCAGCATAATAGTAGCATAACAGCAGAATAATAGTAAAATAACAGGAGGTTTGTCAATATAAGTAACATAATAGTAACATAATAGCAAAA